AAGGGCTTTCCCAGGGATGCAGGCGGCTGTGAGAAACCTTTGCTCTCATGGACCGTCCTCGGGAGGTGGCCACAACATCCGCGTTCAAGGTCAAAATTAAGAGTCTGACAAACCCTGGGGAGCCGGTGGGCGCCTGTGTTGTGTCATGGGGCATCATGAAAACGAGATGCCCACCGGGCCCCCACAGAACCGCGAGGCCCAAGGTCCCAGGAAGTGCGCCCTGGCTTGACTCGGCAAAGCCAGAACCGACAGAGCGGGTGACCCAAGTGACCATCCCGGTTGACATCACAGCTCAAGTCTGGCCACATACACCTCTTTACCTGAATGTTGTCCATGGCAATGCAGACACGCTTCTCTCGAATTATCAACCAATGCATGAAATAAATTTAAAAACTTCCAAAAGCAGTAAGCTGATAGTGTTTTGTCCATAAATCTCTAAAAGTTCTCTGTGAGTCCCGTTAGCACTTAAGTCTTTAAAAAACAAACTGCCGGGCAGGGGATCCACCAGCCGTGCTGATCAGGCCTGCGGGGCTTCTGCGAGGGCCGCACTCGGAGGGTCTTCGCTGCAGCCTCCTTCACAGGGCGGCCCCAGGCCTTCCCGTGCCCCCGCTCCACACCCACCCTGGGCAGCACCACCATGGCCTGTCTTATGGAAGAAGAACAGGCTCCCAAACAGAAACAAAATAACAGACATAAAATAAAGCAAACAGCCCGGCCAGTGGCTCAGTGACTGAGCGTCGACCTATGAACCAGGAGGTCACGGTTTGATTCCAGGTCAGGGCACATGCCCGGGTGGTGGGCATACATACAGGAGGCAGCTGATCAATGATTCCCTCTCATCATTGATATTTCTAACTATCTCTCCCTCTCCTTCCTCTCTGAAATCAATAAAAATATATTTAAAAAAATAAAGAGCATTTTTTACTCATTTTCACTCAAATCTCATGAGACAACGTCCTGCCTCAAAAGATTCAGTGGTGTGTTATTTGTCCCCGCCAAATCCGAAATATATATTATTTTTTCAATTGTGTAAGCATGACAAGACACACTGATCAAGATTTTAGAAATGCAAATACTGGAGCGTATGTTAGTAAGTGTGGGGCGAGGGGAGGCGAGGCCGCTGGGTCTGTTTTTCGGAGGGAGTGAGCGTCACGGGGCCTGGCTCTGGCCGGGAGCCTGTGGGGTAGGGGGTGAGGCCAGGGCCCGGGCTGCGGATCTGTCCTGTAATATAGAGATTAAAAAATGCGAAAGGGAAGGGAAGAAAGGAGAGCACACAGCTGCCGTCCCCCAAACAGACCTCCCATCTGCCACCCATGATTTGCATGTCACCTTCTCCGGGCTCATTTGTACTTCATTAACTGCCATTGACTTAACAAGATTTATGCAAATGACACCATAGGAGCTCCCCAACTCCCACTGCAATCAAGTGATTATGTATGTACAACTCTCCACAGCAATGAAAAATTCATACGTGACAGGCCACTCGCCGCCAAGCGGGCCTCTGGCTTTCTCTTTTTCTTGCTTTGCTTTTTAATTTTTATTCCAGTAGACTCATCTTATTAGGAAAGAAAGAAGACACTCTCTGAACCAAATCTCCTCTAAGGCCTCAGGAAGGACAAAAAAGGGGGAGGTGGGCCCAGGTCCTCAGGAAATGAAGTTATTTTGCAGAAAATAAGTCATATTCTTGATGAGCAGCCCTTCCCCGGGAACAAGGGAGAGAGGAGATCGCTGCCTGCCGTGACCCTGCTGGCGCCCACCTGGGGAAGAGCCTCCGTCCTCACAGTGAACAGGCTGCGAGGCGTGAGTGATGTAATTCCCCGGAACACAGACCGTCTGTAGGATGAGTCAGGTGGGAGCGTGCGCAAGACGGCCTCGTCTGTGTCCCAACCCATCGGTACAAGGTCCCCGTGGGGAGGAGCACAAAGACGGCCGCTATCACAGACACTGGCCTGCCCCAGCCAGCACCATGGCCAGCACCATGACCAGCCCCATGAAGGTCGCGGAGGTTCCCAACTGGGGGGTGGGGGGAGAGGCAGCACTGGAGCGAGGGCTGAGTGTGGAGACAAAGCGCGTGCTGCTGGTGAGGAGGACAGGGCACGCCTATGGCAGCAGCTTCCCAATGGGTGAAAGGCCGCTCCCCCCCCCCCCCCGCCGGCCCAAACCACGAGCGGCCTCTGGGCTGGTCCCTGGGGAAACTCTGCCGTGCAGGCGCAGTCTGGAGAAGTCTCTTCTAAACAGCACAGGCATTCTGTCCGAGGTCAGGGTCACACATGTCACACGAGGTTGCTTTCTGAAGGCTCCTTGTGAGGCAGTGGAGAGTGTAGAAGAGTCGGGCCCCATCCTGGCCCCATCTTACCCTCCCTGGGCTTTATGTAAAAAAAGGAAAACACAGCCACCCTAGCATGGCCATGTTTGGAATTCAATGGGATGCTGTATTCAAAGTGCTTCATCCTATATCATAACACCCTAATATGCAAATCGACCAACCAGTGGAAAGACCAGCAGAACGACCGGTCGCTATGACATGCACTGAACACCAGGGGGCAGATGCTCAACGCAGGAGCTGCCCCCTGGTGGTCAGTGCGCTCCCACAGAAGCCAGGCTCAGGACTGGCGAGTGCAGCAGCAGTGGCGGGAGCTTTTCCTGCCTCTGCTGCAGGGGGGTGGTAAGGAGCGAGGGGTCCAGGACTGCGAGAGGCGGGGAATCAGGCCTAAGCCAGCAGGCGGATATCCCCCAAGGGGTTCTGTACTGAGAGAGGGCACAGGCTGGGCTGAGGAACGCCCCCCCTCCAGTGAATTTTGTGCACCGGGCCTCTAGTAGGATAATAATAAACACTAATTTAATTGTCCTTTATTCAACAAACAGGTTTGTCAGGTGTCTGGAACATGCTGGTGTTGGCAACGCCCCTCTGGCTCCTTCCTCTCACCTCTCCCTTCCTTTTTGCTAGTTGAAGTCATCCCTTGGTGGGGGAAAGGGGCGGGGAGGGGGGGTAGGAAATCAGACTTTCGCTAATGATCTTGGTGCCTTTATAAACACAGACACACAAGCATGTGAGATCAATCTACACAACCGTCCACACACCCACACCACCTGGGGGGCCCCCAGAGAGGCGCTGGCAGGTGCCGAGCATGAGGATGCGAAGATCCAGACTTGCTGGAATTCAAACATTCTCTCTGGAATCTCCACGTGCCAGTGTTTCAAGAGCTTTGGATCTGGCCCAGCGCCCCATGTCACAGATGCGGCCCCTGCGGCTGGATGTCCTACCAGGTGTGGGTTTCCAGGACGGGCTTGCCCGTGGACACAGCACTGGGGGGCGGGGAGCGGGGGTGCGCAAGGAACACGGAGCCCTGTGCACGACTCACCGGGAATGCAGCCCCGATTTAGACGTCCACAAGGTTGTTTTGAACATTTGCAATTAAAAGGCTTCCAAGGATTGGCTCAGTTTACACTCGCGGGTCGACGTCCTTCCTCACACAGACTGGACACCGAGCCTCCGAGGAGGAGCAGGTCCCCACTGAGTGACCCAGGGACCCAGGACCTGCCTGGCCTGAGCAGCCGCCCTCGTCGGCAGCAGACGTGAATGAAAGGAACAGTCTAGTATTAAGTTCTAATGTCCCCGGACCAATTACTAAGTGAGAGTAAGAGAGCAAAAGCTTTTTATAATTCTCGTTAAAACAGTATCAACAGCATAAAATCACACATTACCATTACGTCATGCAGAGAGCTGGGTTTATAAATGAGCACACAGAGAAAGAATGAGTGTGCGTGGACCTCCCCAGGGAGGGAACCGCGAGAGGGAACACACCCACCAGCAATGGGGCCCCGTGCCAGTCCACACCGTTGTCGCCCAGGCTCTGAACGTGTCTTGTGTGGAACCCTGCAGCCTCCCTGCTCTGGTCCCCCCACAACACGGTGCTAACCCCCCTCCCCCCATCTAACCTGCTCCTCGCCCATAGCAGCTACGGCTACATTCCTGAAAGGCTCGGGCCCTTTAAGGGTGGCCAGTGCCAACACAGGTTCCTATAGCTGTGGAGAGCCGCCAAGGTGTGGGCAGAAGGGGATGGCGGAGAACGGCCACCCAGAGGGTCATCGCAGTCACGGCAAAGTCCATGAGAGGCAGAGCCGGCATCCTGCCCACGGGTTTTCCCTCGTTCAGCCAGAATGCACTAAAAACCAACTGGCCTTCTTTAACCAACTAAAAGATGGCATTTCCAGAAGCCGCAGTGCCGAGTTAAACTCTTCATTTTCCTTGGAAATATAGCAGCAAAAGATGTCATGTGAAGGCCCGTTGTACTTGCGACATAAAGCAATTTGGTGTCTGGTTTCTGGGCTAATGAAAACCTATCCCGGCTAGCAACCTGGGCCAAAACAAATGCTCGCATTCAGTCCTCCTGTGTAATGAGGAAGTTTAATTAAGGCCCCCCATTACAGCTGTAAATGTTCCTTTATATAATAAGGTCTAAATGAAACCGAACCTAATCAAAGTTACAATTCCTTCATTAGCAAATTACAAACAAGAGCGCACAGCTGACACACCGGCTATGATTATCACAACTAATTGCCTCGTTGTTACAAACTAGCCTGAAACGGTGTTCAGATGTCCGTCTGCGAGAGCAAATTAGGGCCACGTCGGGCTATTCCCGGGCTCACAAGGGGCTCTTGTGCGGAGATCTGATTTACCCCCGTCGACCGGCGGCCGGCGGCCCAATCAAAGCCCAGCTACAAAGGCGGCCTTTGAAGCCAGCTCAGCCCGGGACGCGCTCCATATGCAGGCGGGCAGACCGCACTTCATTAGGTCTGTTGTCACATTTTCCCTCTTCTTATTCTAATGATCCCATTTTAATACACACAGGAACCTCTTCTAATTGATGTCAAGTGAGTGACTTCCACATTCATCAACAGAGCACATCAAACGAACCTCGGCGCGCGCGCCAGCGTCACAGCCAGGAGAGACGGAGGTGTGCCTCCGCGGCAGGGAAGGAAGGAGGGCAGCGGCGTACCTGTTTAATTGGGATGGCTCGGCCGCTCCCGATGCTGTCCGCACGACTCTCCAGGCCTTTCTTCTCTTTGTCCGGGTCACTCCCTTTCCGAGACTGCAAAACGAAAATAAAGTTAGCATTTGGCCGGGGCTGCGGCTCACAGATGGCGCCAGGTCTGCCCTGGTTTGCGCACTTTCTGCAAACATGTATTTGGAGGCCAGGGAGGGGGTATGGATACAGACATCCGCACGCGCACCACAGAAGCAGGCTGTGGATTCTTTCGTCTCCACGGGTGCGTCCTCTCACGGAGAATTTTCTAAACTTTTCCCCTGCAAAATTATCTTTTAATTCTTTTTTAAAGAGTTCAAAATTCAATTACTAGAAACCAATGGACCATATAAAAAAGTAACGCCCAACAGGAAAACACATTCCGAAGCTGCCGCTAATCCAGCCGGGGAGACAAGGGCTCCTGGCTGCTTGTTGGGGAACCCTGCGACATAAATGCACACATTTAATTAACGTCGGAAGCATTAAAAAAATTCTATTAACGGCTCAGCTGTGCAATGTGATGGTACATGCTCGATTCGTATCGAGGTGTCGTTAATGCTTTTATTGCCTCGGCATGGTGAGGAAACAGCAAATTCAAAGTCAAACTCGTGTATACTACCCACCCACCCCCCCCCCCCCCAAAAAAAACAAGGGGGAAGAAAAAGTTGAAATATCTTTTCTGACGAGACGTCAGTATTTGGGGGGAAATGAGCAGCTTGGTTTGCTGAGCTCCTGGGACAGTTTCCCCGCCGTGTTGCTGACGCTGCGTAAACAGCCCGGGAGCTGGCGACCAGCGGGAGGGTGACGGTGCCCCATCCGGGAGCCACACCTGAAGTGGCTGGGACCTGGGGATGTTGGGGACCGCCTCAGCTACGTCTCCAGCTCTCGGCCGCACGGGGAAGTCGGAGCGCAATGGTTTCCTGACAGATTTATTTCATTATGAGAGAAAGATCTGAGACTCGTCCTCCTTAATAACTGTGCTGACAAGTGACAACTTCACTCCATTACTTTTCAATGGGAACATTACTCACGCAATATTGAAAATGGAGAAACATTTTCGTGTGCTTTTCAAATCTGAGATGATGTATGAAATGAGCAGGCTCGGTGGTGACCGGTGCTGCTGTGGCAAGGGAATGACACCCACTTTCAAAGGGGTGTGGGGTGGGCACTGATTCTGCGTTAGGGGTGCCGCCATGGGATGTAGGGAGAAGGTTCCCTGATGTAAGCTCAGAGGTGGGGCTCCCACGGGCACAGGTGCTCATGAGAAAGCGTGCTTCCCGGCGACCACTCAGGGAACACCTACGTGCCAGGCGCTGCGCACTGGTTTACGTGGGACGGTCAAAGCCCGGAATGACAGAACAGGAAATGAAACAAGCAACACATAGAAAGTTGCAGGAGAACCTAAAACTGAAGGCTTATCCCTGTGGGCAAGAAGGGAAACGGAGCCATTTATCAATTCCTTGCCATGAATTTTAGCTAGGGGTTAGGGACTCACTTTTCTCTAATTAATAATGTGTGGTGAGAGCTATGCAATAACCCTAAATTCTCTTCTTCCCAAATCTCAATTCACGGGAAAGCTGGAACTTGAAGTTTCCTGTTATAAAATAAGACTCAATACTCACAGGGATAATTTTTTAAAAATTTAAATCAACAGAGAGAATCGAAGATGGCGGCATAGGTAAACACACCGGAGACTGCCGCCGTGGACAACCACTTCAAAAATACAACTAAAAGTCGGAGCGGACATCAACCAGAACCACGGGAAGGCTGGCTGAGGAGAGTCTCTTCAACTAGAAGCAAAAACAACAGCATTCCGACGCTCAGCGGAGGCGCGCAGTGTGGAAAATTTAAAGGTACGGCGGTGCGGTGGTGAGGGTGTGCGCGCAAAGCGGGCTGGCGGCTGAGGGCGCGATTGTCGTTTTCAATCAGGAGCGAGTCTCAGACTCTGGGCTACAGATCCGGGCGAGTCTCTAGGGACCCAGACTCAAACGGGAGAAGCGGGACTGTCTGGCTACGGCCCCTCCGAGGTTTGCAGCGATTGCTGGGACAGAGAGGCAGAGCCCCTGGGGACGGACTGAGAGCGGCCATAGCTGCTCCCTCCCCCCGCCCTGTTGAGCCCGCCCCGCCCAGGCCCTGCGCAGAGCCATTTGCCGATCGCCTCAGGCAAGGGCTGGACTAGCGCCTCCCCAGAGGACTGAAGTTTTCCCACAGCTGATTTCCACAGCCAGTCGGCCTGGTGGTCAAATCCCTCTAGTGTTAACTACAACAATTAAGGCTTGGCTAGAACAAGACTGCGCACAGAGACCACAAGGGGGTGCACCAAGAAAGCATAAAAGATGCGGAGACAAAAAAACATGACAGAAATGGAGGATATGGAGCTAAGAATCGCAATTTTGAGGGCTTGCCATAAATTTGTGCAGAGCCTCACGAAAACTAATGAGACCCTCGATGCTACGATAAAGAAATTAGAAAGTAAGCATACACGGACTGAAATAAAGAATATTATACCCAATAGCAGACCAGAGGAGCACAAGAATCAAACCAAAGATTCGACAAAAAACACCCAATTGGAAAAGCAAAATGAAAAAAGAATCCGAAAGTGTGAAGATAGTGTAAGGAGCCTCTGGGACAGCTTTAAGCTGACTAATATCAGAGTCATTGGAGTGCCAGAAGATGAGAGACAGCAAGATATTGAAAACCTATTTCAAGAAATAATGGCAGAAAACTTCCCCCACCTGGAGAAAGAAATGGACTTACAGGTCCAAGAAGCGCAGAGAACCCCAAACAAAAGGAATCCAAAGAGGACCACACCAAGACACATCATCATTAAAATGCCAAGAGCAAAAGACAAAGAGAAAATCTTAAAAGCAGCAAGAGAAAGAGGCTCAATTACCTACAAGGGAATACCCATACGACTGTCAGCTGATTTCTCAACAGAAACTTTGCAGGCCAGAAGGGAATGGCAAGAAATATTCAAAGTGCTGAATACCAAAAACCTACAACCAAGATTACTTTATCCAGCAAAGCTATCATTCAGAATTGAAGGTCAGATAAAGAGCTTCACAGATAAGGAAAAACTAAAGGAGTTCATCACCGCCAAACCAGTATTATATGAAATGCTGAAAGGTATCCTTTAAGAAGAGGAAGAAGAAGAAAAAGGTAAAGATACAAATTAGGAACAACAAATATGCATCTATCAACAAATGAATCTAAGAATCAAGTGAATAAATAACCTGATGTACAGAATGAACTGGTGACTATAATGAATCAGGGACATAGAAAGGGAATGGACTGACTATTCTTGGGGGAAAAGGGGTGTGGGAGATGCGGGAAGTGACTGGACAAAAATCATGCACCTATGGATGAACTCAGTGGGTGGGGAGTGAGGGTGGAGGGTGGGGTGGGAGCTGGAAGGAGGGGAGTTATGGGGGGGAAAAAAGAGGAACAAATGTAATAATCTGAACAATAAAGATTTAAAAAAAAAAAAAAAAAAAAAAAAAAAATTTAAATCAACAGAGATCATTAAAGGTACTTTTGGAAGTTTATAAATTTGGAAATCCATCTTCATTACTCACTATTAACCAGAATGATTAACAAAACAAACATGAAAACATTAACGTCTCCCTCGAGGCAGCACATCTGCCCCAGTCGCTGGGAGCAGGACGCTCAGGTTCCAGGGGAGGCGGGACTGAGGAGATAAACTCCGTCCGTGTTTGCTCACACTCTCCAGGATGCATGAGTGAAGCACAGCCCATACAAGCGGAAATTAAATTCCCCAACAACTAACATTCTGGTGAGAGCCCTAAAACTAACATTTCCAGGAGAGAGCGGTGGCGAGCGGTCAGGCAGAGGAGAGGGTCTGCTGAATCTCAGCCCACGATTACGTTTGCTACAGCACGCTGAGCACAGTCCGACCACTAAACTAACACAGACCCGCCGGACAGAAACACTGCCACACACACATCCCCAGGACGCTCCCCAGCTTTGCCGCCAACGCGGAGACGACAGCCCCAGGAGCACAGCTGCGTTCCCGCTGAAATGGCTCCGTGAAATCGTCAGCTACGCGGCAGCGCTGGTCCCCGCCGCCTGTGCTGGGAGTGACTGCGGTGCGTCTGCTTGACACGCACAACTAGAAACCTGAGTTTATGCGCCCACCACGGAAGGCCGGCAACACGCCCAGAGTGACTGCTTAGCCTGGCCGACACGGAACACGGCGGGAAGAGAGGTGGCGATGAGCTCGTTATCACCTCCCTCTCTACAGAAATGATCGACTTTCTCCCCTGGGATGGAAGAAGCCAGGACTCGAAAACCCCATCAACCGCCTGCCACAGGGACAGGAGCTTCGTGGCAGAGCCCTCATGCCCAACAGAAACCTCCTCCCCCTCGAGCCCAACGAGTGGGACTCGGCGGTGGCCATCCACACCATCCTTCTTACACGATCAGCTTTGCTGCCTTATTTTTACGGTGAGTTTCTATGAGCCGGGCAGCATGTACTCACAATCTTTGGTCACGGGGCATGCGGGGCTCTGTGTAACGGTGTTGGCATGATACAGGAAGCTTTTAGAAATACCATGTAAGTCACATCGTTTTCCAAAGCCCGAAGAGAGGCAAAGCAATGCCATGTACAATTACAGACACAGTAAAGTAAGATGACAGCATGCACACAGACAGACAGTAAGCACCCAGTTCAGGCGGGCTGCTCCCCGGACAGGGAGGCAGGGGACACATGGGGTGGGGGGTGGGGGGGAACTGTGACTTTCCCCCTCGACTTGTTCACTTCCCGAAGCAGCAGCTGGCACTGGAGGAGCACACAGCACGGTGCGTGTGTCTGTGTGCTTCCCATTCCTGTATGCCTGAACATACCTGCAAATAAAGCATCTTACCCACACACAAATCAGGGCTACTAAGCTACCCTAAGTATGAAGAACCCCTAATACAGAACCAGGAATTGAACGGCTATAGCCTTTAACTGTTCTTTTCTCAAAACAATAATTTTTAAAAAAAGTTAAGCAACATAATATATAATTTAGCTTTTGATTAGTAAAGTACAATTCCTCCCACAAGTAAAACACATAATCTCCTGCCACAGCAGAGATGTTTAGTTTCTGCTATTTTGTAAAAAGTCCATTGTGATTTATTTTCGTGTAAAATTGTGCATATATGCAAACAGAAACATCTAGCCCAGCGTGAGGCATTACAGGTCCGCGCTGTCAAATTTATAAGCTCGGTGTCTGTGGAATGATGTTTGCAACACTTCATTCCCTGGGCCTCTTTCCAATTCTCTAATAAAGGTGGACAGTGCCCCTTCGCCTGGGAACTGCAATCCCAGCCTGCGTGGTTTTTTACTAAGAGTGTTCAGCATATGGCACCTCCGTTCTACTACACACTGTCATTTTTTGGTTGGGGGGGGGGCAATTTAGGCCAATAATTACCAACAATTACCAGGGAAGAAGAGTCTCTGAGATTCCACATGTTATGAACAGGTGTAAACTGGTAACAATGAGTTTAGTTGCTTCACTGCTGCAATTTCAAAATATTATGCCTCCTTTTCATTCCTTGGGTGACACTGACATCTAGTGGAGTTAATATTTCTAAGATCTTCAACTTAAAAATACGAACACATCACTGTCACCATCACCATCATCGCCATCGCTCTGTCCAACGTCAAACCCAGGATTCCAGCTGTTTCCTTAAATGCCATGAGGCAAAGCCATCACAGCTCCTTTCTGACCCTCGGCTCCTGTGCCTGCGAACCACCTTGTGTGGCTGGGTTCTGTGTCTGACGGTTACAAGCAAACTGCTTTCCAGCATTTAGCGAGGAAGAGAACAGCGATGAGAAAGCACAGCTCCAGGGCCAGACCTTTGCATTATGAGACTTTCCCTGGGACCTAATGAAGGGAGACTGCCAGGCAAGGCAAGCAGGAGTTTTTATTGGCTCTGGCCCCTGGGGCACCTGGTCCGTCCAGGGTGTGCGGCATGTCCATGGACTCTCCCTGAGCCCCCCCCCCCGCCCCCGCCTTCTCTCTAAACCACTTTCTCTCGAATGTGGGCAGACTCTGCAGACCCCAGGCTCCAGCAGGCTCTGCCGACAGCACAGGGAAAGGAAACATTCATTTATTGAGGTACTATTATTAACTTTTCATTCACTGAGTTACTATTACCTTCCTGCCTCCAGGTTTTCTCTTTTGTCCTTCCCCGTGGGCAGGGTCCGGGATACTACGTTTGGGCACATTCCAGGGCCACCCTTAACCTGTGGGGACGGGGCTGCTGGAGCTCTCCTTCCACAGCCCGGTTTTCAAAGATACTGCCCGGCTCCTCATCTTTCTGAGAACAGAAACCAAAGCCACACCCTCCTGAGCTGGGAGGACGGTCTCTCCTCCAGCCCCGCCTCACAGGAGGGCGGAAGTGCAGAAGGTACTCTGGTCCACGCCCAAAGCCCACCCTCTCCGCATCTTCAGCAAGTGAGGTTCCTCAAGTCCACCGAGCCAAGAGCGAGGCACAGCCTGTTCTGTCAGGCGGCTCCTTCTCAGCCCCGAGTCCCTGACCCGGTGTCCCCAAGTGCTGCGGGAGCCGGGAGGGCGGGAGGGCGGCCCGGCGCCCGTCACTCGCGGTGTGTCTGAGGTTCACGGTGAAACAGCTTCCTCACGCACTCACAGTGACACGTGTCAGTCACCTGTTCTTCGCAGACACCTAGCCACCCCTCTCCTCACCTGTCCCACAACCACCTCTGCTTTCCACTCTCAGAAGTCACTTCATGATCAGCGGCGTGAGAAAAAAGTGAAAGCAATGCCCAAAGACTGCATCTTCCCAGCAGACCCACCACACACAACTACTGCTGTTTCCAGCTCAGAGAGGTTAAGTAACCTGCCCAAGGTCAAACTGCTGCTGGCAGGGGAGGCTGGCACCCGAGCCCGCTGTCGGGTCCTCCCTGTCCCTCCCGCAGCAGCGTCTGTCAGAACTCACGTGGCACAGGGCACAGCAAAGGCGTGACCTGCCAGCAATGGACTGGGGCGGTAACCACTGTCCAGTGGGAAAAGCACTGCCCACATGGGGTGGGGGGGAGTGGGTCACACATCAATGCCCCCCCACACAGGCCCTCAGGTCAGACGACAGGACCCCGGCCACCCCAGCGGAGTCCTCCTTGAGTTCGAGACCGGGAAGACTGCACGTTGAGCTTCTCTGCATCCAATCACCAGTGACCAAGCAAAGGAGGTCCAACTGTTAAACAGGGCACCGTGGGCACCAGAGCCGGCCCCTTGGCTGTGGGCGGGCCTGCACAGCGGAGGGCGTTCGGCCGCATCCTGGTCGCCACCACGCCCATGAGCAGCTGCCTGCAGCACGGAACCCTGTCCCGGCCCTCACGTGGTGGCAGCTCAAAATTTCCCCAGGAATTTCCAAATGTCCCCGGGAGCAAAGCACCGACTGGGAAGCATGGTGGGTAAGCACATGTAACGCATGCACAGACCCAGTCCCGGAGGGACAGGTCCTCCTCCAGGCAGGGACCGTCCCTCGGAGCCCTGACGGATGGGTGCCTGATGTGTGGAGGGACAGGCAGGCAGCACTTCTGCAGTGAGGGGTTCTCTGCGCCCCAACCACCCGGGAGCTTCTGAAAGCTACACAAGCACAAAGTCCGCCTTCCGAGGCCTCAGCGTCAGAGCTGAGCTACCGTTTTTAAAGGCTCCACAAGGACCTGAAGAAAGGCCCAGGCGGACAGCCTCGTGGCCACCAGCCTCCAACCCGGGAGAGGCGAGTCCTCGGGCACCCCAGGCCGAGGAGGGGTCGGTGGGCTGGTGTGGCTTTTCTATCTCACCGGAAAGGCCAGGCACACACGTCTGGGGATTTGGGTAGTTTTGTCATCGCTCTTATCCCAATGTGACCAGTCTCTAGCTAGAGACCAAGAGAGTCACAGGATGATAGATAATCTTTGTACAAACCCCTCACTCTTTTTTTAAAAGAGAGGAAGGATGGGAAGGAGGGAGAGAAAAGAGAGAAAGAGAAAGAGAAAGAGAAAGAGAAAGAGAAAGAGAAAGAGAAAGAGAAAGAGAAAGAGAAAGAGAAAGAGAGAGAGAGAGAGAGGCAGACTTCACGCCCTGACTGGGGATTGAACCTGTAACCGTGTCCGGGACGACGCTCCAACCAACTGAGCCACACGAGCCAGGGTCCTCACCCTTCATTTTTGACACATGGATCAGAACTACCTGCACACCAAGAAATTCCCATTTTGCTCACTATCTAAATCTTTGCATCCCATAATTTTCTCAGACTTCCATGGAAATCAATGTCAGTCTCATTACTTTAGTTTGGATTCCACACATTTCACTGAACCATCTGGTGGGCAGATGACGACTAGCAGGAAATCTCTGAAGTCACACTCACGGTGAAAAGGTTGGACCGGCGCTTGGACTGCTTCCGGACGGGCGTCGGGGTGTTGGCAGTGGGCGGGACGTCGATCCGCAGCTCCTTCTGGCTGGTGCTGGGGGTCGATGGGACGGAGGAGGAATAGTCGCTCAAACTCCCGCCTCCGTTACTTGTCTGCAATGATTCAAAACCAAGGTTTGGTTAAGGACACACTCCAGGAACCGAATGCCACCTCCCATGCGGGGTCATAACGAACACGTCAGCGAGTCACCCCGGAGAGACGCCCACGCCAGGCTGGGAGCTCCTCGCTGTGCAGCCGGTGTCGGCATCGGGCACAGGCGGTTTCCTTCCGGAACATACCCGCCCTTTCGCGGAGTCCTTCAAGAAGTGACTTAAGAAAAACAAGCCTCTATCACTTGTTTTAAAAATTCGAAAGTGAAATGTAGTCACTTTCTCTTCCCGCTGAAAAGGAAGGCACTGGCTGGACTCCGTGGGGCCTGTGGTTACTTCACTGCTCGAGGCTCCACGCAGGAAGCACCGTTTGCCCACCACTCACAGTTTGAAAATGCCATCTGGAAAATGTGACACCTTTTGGGAGATATTTCAAGATTCATAGAAAACGAAAGCTGCCTACAGGGAGGCGTGAACATTCTCGATAGAACCTCTACAGGCTTCGAATATCTATGATCACTGACCGACTCCCACGAAACTGGAAGCCTTCTCGCTGCATCCTTTTACCAGGTGCCCGTGTGGCTAACACCTATCCAGGAAATGTCAATCAAAACCGCGAGTGCAAGAAAAACAAGCCACGTTCCCTTAAGGGGTTTTGGTTAGGTTCTTCATAGTGACAATTATTTCATTTACTTCTGAGTAAATAATTGAGCAAATGTTGCCATGGAAAGATCGTTCCTACGGGGCCTCAGGGATTTGGGAATTGTAACTGAGGGCTGCTACCCAATCTAGGCTCACAGGGAGATGCACTGCTGACATCCGTCCACAACTGTCCCACCTGCAGGCAGATGGAAGGAGGGCCAACATGGGGTCCTTAAGAAAATGTTTTAATGGATTTATTTGAGAGAGATAAGGGGGGAAGAGAGAGAGAGAGAGATTGATTGAGATTGTTCCACTTATTTATTCATTGGTTAATTCTTGTATGTGTCCTGACCAGGGATTGAACCTGCAACCTTGGCGTACTGGGGCAATGCTCTAACCAACTGAGCTACCCGACCAGGGCCAACACAGGGTAATTTAAATCAACAACAAAGACAGTGAGCACAGCTCCCCTCTCTCTCTGGGCCAGCTCGCCTCAGCACACTGGCTGGGACGGGAAATGTTCAAGAATACGTCCCATAAAAACCACTTGGCCCAGCAGTGTCCGAGGGAAATGTTAAGCCAATTACCAACTTGCTGTTATTCAGAAAGTTGAAAAGAAAAAGAAAATCCACCTACGGCTGGGGGACCACCCTCTGGACAGGCACGGTCTCCTGGGCTCAGGCGTGCCTTTGGGCCCAACCTCTCGTGCGCCCCACGTACCTGGCTGATGTGCACGGCGGACACCTGCGCGGAGCAGACGGAGGAGTGGCTCGGGGAGTTGGGGAGCGACTTGCAGGGCCCTATGGACAGCTGCTGCTTCTTCCTTGTGGCGACAATCTTCTGGGCAACTAGTGGGCAGGGAGACGAGAGAAGTCCACGTGAGGCTGGTTTCCAAAGGCAGAGAATGTGGCGGGGACCGGAGCCCGTCCCTGTAACCCACTATCCCTGCAGCAACGGGATTCCTGATTGTTAGCTGGTGCATGACACGGACGCGACATTTCCCGGAGCCTCTCCTTCCCCTGCACCCCAGCTGAACGTGGTCCTGTGCACAAGTTCCGACAACAGAAGGGGCATGCGGCCGTGCCCAGGAATCTTTCTTGGGAGAGCTGCCCCTGGTCCATGCCTTCCCTGTGTCTTCCCTTCCTGCTGCTTAAAAAGCACATGTTGGCTGTGGTCCTGGGGGCCACCTTGGGGACAAAAGCCACACCTGTGGCGTGTGAGACAGGAGGAGCCCTCACAGACCACCTCAGAAACCTTGAGTGTAAAACAGAAAAACACACTCCTATCTTGTTTAAGTTATTCTAATAATTAGGTTCCGCCCCACCCTTAGTTACTTGGGGCAAAAATAATCCTAAATAAGACAGGTTAATGTAACCAAATCTTGAAAAATAAAAAATCTGTTTGTTTTTTTGCATAGCCCAAAGAATCACTCAACTTTGCAAGCTGCCTCACAGAACTATATTCAAGGACATGTAATGATATCAAAGACTTTTTTTATTTATATATATTGCTACACACATCGGAAGTTTATCTTAATCAATACGAATCTAAATTCAACCAGCCATAACTTGTCCCGGCAAATAGGCTCGCTGATAAAGCATATTGGATTTAATTGGAAAGGAAGTCAACGATTAGAAAGCTCTTCCTACACCCATAGGTGTCACTGCAGGAGAGTAACTGCAGCTTTTATTTGAATAGATGTGTGTCTTTGGGGACGAGCTGTAATTAAGTTCAATGATATTCAATCCTTGTGTTTGCCCAGAGAGTTGCTCTTTTTTGCGGACACCCATGCACAGGAGCGCATCACTGCCCCCAGCAAAAGGTTACAACACAGAAGGGAGCGCACGGCATCCGCAGGCCATTTCTCCTCCAAATGAACACAATTGTAATAAGGTACCAGTTTGTCCGGAGCTTATGGCCTCCATGTAAATGAATGATAGTATAAATATGATTAAGTGAAAACGCAATATGTAAAAAATGGCTCCCAGAGATGAGAGCCAGCCTCATTAGGTACAGCCCACCTCCAATAGGCCTCTTATCATCCTGAAAGGATGATATCAATTAATTTATCTTCCCGTAGTGTATTGATCATAACCTTCATCAGCTAATCATGTTTAAATTACAGAGGAACAGTGGGGCACTCTGTCATTTCAAAACCATCGGCGTATTGATCTGGGGTCTTTGAAGACGTATATTAGAGGATTTTATAAATCATTATGTGAACTCAAAAATAAAATTTAAGATCAGATTCCAACAGCTGCAACACATGTGTCGTGCCAGTGAGCTGAAATCCCAGAGACCAGGAGTAAATTAAGTTAAAATCATGACTATTTGGGGGATTGCCCATTTACTTCTTTTTGGAGGAGGGAGGAGAGCAAAAGGGGGTTTCTGATTATCAACTCGAATGCATGTTATTTTACTGCAGCCTCAGAGTCACTCTGCAGTTGGAAGGCCAGAGTGACTTTGATCTGAAAGCTCATTAAAAAGCACACAGGTCAGAATTAACAGGGCTGGGCATCCGGAGATCTCTGCAGACAGTTCCTGCAAATGTTTTCTTCGCAGGGCGATCTGAGGAGCTTTCTAAGATAAGTCAAATGAATGTCCCATCCTTCCTCCGTGGAGGCCCGTAAGAGCAAGTTCACCAGCCACGAGGACGTTTTTACCGCGAGTCCCCCTCCCACCCAATCAAACACGGACAGGGTGGTACAGAGCATGAGCCGGAGGGTAAGGGTTAAAATCCTGTTCATTTAATTATTGTTCTACCACATTTATTACAAAACACTGGTAGCATTTTTGGTAATACTTTTGGTAAATTCACGCTCATAACTTGTGGAATTTTTTAACTTTACTCACATTTGTTCTATTTTCCCATATTGTTATGTCCATACCCCAATGGAAGAAATGAAATTATTTACAAGTATGTTGTTCTAAAATAGACTCTTTCAAAACTACAGGATAACCCCCAAAAGTAGGGAAAACTCAACGGAGGGCAATGCGAGTATCTGACTTCAGAAGGAAGAAGACGAGTAAAAGGCCCTGGCCAATGTGGCTCGGTTGGTGGTTGGTGGGCATCGTCCCGTGCACCAGAAGGTGGCCAGTTCAATTCCCTGTCAGGGCATGTGCCTGGGCTGTGGGCTCGACACCTGTAGGGGCCATGCAGGAGGCAGCAAATAAATGTCTCTCACATGTCAATGTTTCGCTCCCTCTCCATTCCTCTAAAAATCAATAAAAAAAATACTTAAAAAAAAGAAAAGAAAAGAAGAGGACTAGTAAGAGGAAAAGGAGAGGATGAAGCAACTGTTGTGTAAGGTTTGGCACCCTCTCCACAGCGAGGATGAAAATCTCTGGGATCCCCCCGAGCTGCCTGCCGGCTCTACAACCTGAAGAGACCATGGCCGTCTAAGACAGTGCCCCGGCCCACCCCTCAAATGATCTTGCAAAAGTTAGGGTGAATCACAAGACATGAGAGATGAGATGGTCTGTGTGAGTCGGTGAGCCCCTCCCCCAAAACCGAAGCCAAGGAGAGGGAACTCCTGTCGCCTGGGATGGGGGGTGGGGTGGGGGCATTGTTCTATTGTAACTGGAATCATTAACTACTCATATTCAGAACATTTAAACGTTAGTAGACTTAAGACATGATATTACCCCAGATTATGCTGACTGGCCATTTTTATAGCCTCTGAGTTTTGTCTACATTGGATCATTCAACAAATGAGGATGTTACATATTTTATAGAAACATGTGTGAATGAATGATTCAAACAGAACACAGCACTGAGGTTACTTAGAAGAAGAGGAAACCCTTACCACTGAGAAGTGATGTTTCCTTGATTCTGGTGACCCACGTCCCCACACAGTCACCAGGGGAGCGAAGTGGCCACAATGTCAGCAGCATCCACTGCGAATGTTCTCTGTTTTGCTGACGCCAGCCAACTTCACGGACCCCCTGGCATTTCCACACTAATGCTCACTGCTGTTTCAGGTCACTTCCTCCCACCATTTTGAGTTTGATGTAGGTAATCCATAAAGAGATCCTTAGTTAACCCCTTCACTTGTATCTATATACACTGTATAAGCTTCCAAACAAAGCACAGAGATCGCCAGTGCCCGGGGGGGAGAGTGCAGGGGCTGCTGGGGGCTGGCAAGGGCCCCTGCTTGACCTGGGTCATGGATTTGAGACCATTTTTAAAGCCAATCCCTTAAGTACACTTTCATGTATGTATTTCCATCCTTCAATTTAAATGTAAGCAACAGCAAAGTGAGTTAGACATTTACTATCTCCACAAATTTTAAATTTTCCATCGGATAGATGACAAATGGCACCCTTTAATTAGTGGTAAATCTGAGACTCAGCTCCCAAATCAGACCTCATTAAACCCTGGCGTGGTGCCCACACCTGCTTCCGCTTTGCTTTCCCATCACTCCCACTAAGAGGGAAAGAACAGGCCCGGCTACACCAGGAAGCAGGCCCGCCGCACACGGTGCCCTGGCCTCTTCCCTCCTTTACATCTGACGCTGAGCCAGTCCACAGATGCAAACAACAAGGCAGACGGGACCACAGCAGGGCAAGGGCTCCGTCAGGCGGCCTGTATCCCCCCCACCCCCCACCCCCGCTGAGGGACCAGGAGACACCCTATCTCCCGGCCAGCATCCCCACGAGATACTAGCACATCCAGGACAGGGACCATGTGTCCCTTTCTCTGACCTCTCACTCTCTCTATGATCCTTCAAGTTTATTTGGGGAACAGATAAAAGAGGCCCAGGAGGGGCTCAGCCAATGCCGGCTAAACTCCATTTTCACAATCTGCCTTCACGGAAGCAGCTGGACTGTCCCCGACGTCCCTCCCGCTCTCCTGACCTCCTCAGCCTGGACACAGCCCGCATCACCAAGGTCACTGGTGATGGCTGGGAGGGGGCATCTTACCTGACCGCTGGGCAGCAGTGGGCGTCGCTGCGGGTGCCCTGCTGTCCTGCCTCCCTCCCTCCTTCCGTGGCCCCCACGTTCCTGTTTCCTCCCCCGCCTGCAGCTCCTCCTCCTCCTTCCCGGGCTCTTCCCTGTGGGGGACTCTGGGCTTCCCTCTCTCACCCTGTTCGGTCTCCATGCCCTCCCCCGCAGCCTGTCCACCTCGATGCCCACGGCTGCATGTCCACATCACAGCCTGGGCTCCCTGCATTCTAGAACCGCGTCTCCGAGCACCACTCGCAGCTCCCGGGCAGGAGGGAGGGAGACGAGTCTAAACATCCACAGGGCCCAGCCCGAGCCTCCCCTTGGCCACCAGACCTGCTTCTCCAGATTCCCCCTCCACTGACTAGCCTCCCCCCTCACACACTCAGTAGGAGACATGACGGATGGTAGATTCTACCACCAGAATCTCTCTCAAGTTCATCGTCACGGCCACTGCCTCCACCCAAGACCTCATCTTTCCATGCTGGTTACCAAAAGCAGTCCCCTCCACGGCCGCCCAAAGGAACGTGCTGCAGGTGGCCTTTTATACGGGCAAGCGTCCTGCTTACAGTCTAACAGCCCCCCATCCTGCAGACGCCCTGAGCCTCCTCACACAAGGGGCGCCCATGGTTGCGAGGTGAGTGCTCTGCCTTCCACGCAGTGGGATGCCCACGACCCTGACACTCCTGCCATCACAGGTCCTCCTGGACACGGGAGGGGTGACACGCCCAGCGGGTGTGGGAGGAGCGGCCTACCCCTTCCCAGTGCCCGCAGCTCAGGGGACAGTGTGGGCTCCTCGAGGCCCGCGACCGTCTGGGGACCCTGGTTTCCACTACAGCAGAGGTTCTCAACCTGTGGGTCACGACCCCTTTGGCGGTCGAACGACCCTTTCACAGGGGTCGCC